GCATCACTCGCGGTCATATTGAGTTCCTCATCGGGTGTTTTGTCAGCAATTTTTTTCTTTTCGGTTGTCTATTTCCCAGGAATCCCAGGTCTTTTGAATACTGCTTCGTCGTACTCAATTTAATTGCCTTTTCTTCAAAATAATTGATGTTTTCCCGTTGATCTACGAAGAACTTGCGAAGAGATTCATAAAGATCGGCTACAGTGATCAAATTACGGTAGAAGCTTGGATTTGAACATTCACTTTGTTAATTATTTCCAAAAAGACATTCCACGTAATAAGTTATATGAAAGTTATAGAAAGTTAAAAAGTTTAAGTGAAATATACATCACTAATTAAAGGAATATGAACAATAATTCGATGGGTTTTGCGTGCTAAAGAGTTTTAGTTTACAATTAAAAATTGTGTGTTTTTAAAGTAAGGTTTGCATAAAATGTCAGATGTCAAAGTAAAAACGCATACGCTCGCGCCATCTGTTCCGTCGTAGCAGTTTTCACTTTGACATCAGAGCCACCCCCCATCTTTAGTCTCCCTGTGACCATGACTGCTGCAAAGCATCCAAAACATCGGACCGTTGATAAAATAATTTTTAAATAAATTTAACTAATATATATCGCGTTTAAAACCGTTAAAGAGTTTTATTTAAATGTGTTCTACTTGCGTAAACTACAAACAGTTTATAAGATTTAATTTATATTAAGGTGTCTAGTCGTGAACGACGCATCGATTATCTATTTCTTAAGCTAAATTTTTAGTTGCCTCATAGCAGTGTGCGTTGCACTGTCCTTTAAATATTAGTAAGATGTAAGATCAAAATCATTTTCTCCTTTTACAACCATCAATTTAGCGTAAGCTACAAAATCGCGCAAATGGTCGCTTCGCCAATCGGGTCGCCTTTCGCCTCGCGGATCTTTGTGGCCAAGCCACTATTGGAAAAATTATAAGATATTTCTAAGAAAATCTAGTAATAATAGCCTACTTTGAGAACTGCTTAAACTGAACACGTGTTTGTGAAATACTTTAGACAAATATTTACCCACTTTTGCGATATCGTTGGCGCGTAATCCGGATTCAACAATTACAAGCTTTATTTACGCGGCCATTTGATCACGCGATTCTAACTTTTTTATTACAATTCGGCTTGGGAACAACTGTGAGAATGGTGAGTATGACAAACCATTAAAAATGCTAAGTCAGACAAATACCTAGTTTATCTAAAAACATTATAACAATCTAAATTCTTACTTTTGTTTGTCAGAAACTAAATACAGTATGTAGTTTACCCCAATAGTATACATTTAAATAAAACACTTTAACGGTTTAAAACTCTCCCCGTGAGCACGGCTGCTGCAAAGCATCCGAAACGTCGGGCCGAAGTTAAAAATCATTTTCAAATAAGTAACTAATATATCGCGTTTTAAACCGTTAAAGTGTTTTAATTAAATATGTGTTCTACTCGCGTAAACTATAGACAGTATTTAGTATACATTTAGATAAAACACTTTCAACGATTTAAACCGCGAAATGTAAGAACGTCGGGCCGTAGTTAACATAATTTGTCAAGTTTAACTTCTTAATACATTTCGCGTTTTAAACCGTTAAAAGTTTTTTATTTCAATTGTTAGAAACTATCGTACCAACTAAAGAGTCCAATTGGATACTAAAGCATCTCTCAAACGTCTCATGGACCTCTGTTAAAAGGACGAAGCAAGAAATTCAAGGTAATGCAAAAAATTTTGCACAAAAAAACAAATCAAGGCAAAGTATTTTGCGTGATAAGACTAAAGGAAAATGATTTCAAATATATGACAATGGACGATGGCTCGCAATTCTGAGGTGGGTTTTACACTTTAAAATAATGATACAAGATTATACCGACCAATTGGTTATTATAAAAAATGTTTAAGTATTATTTGACGCTGATGCTATGCTATTCTCTAATTTTAATAAGAGAGCTAAGCAAAGATTTTTAGTAAACGAATGTATTATTAAGACAAGCTGTGCCAGCGACTTCGTCTGCGTAAAATTGAGTGTTGCAATCAAGATCCTCAGCTTTATACATTATAGCTGTTACCCACGACGTCGTCAGCCACCCGGCGTTTTTGCGAATTTCTCGCTTTACACGTAATTCCGAACCGTTCACATATTATTTCCAAATGACGCACTATAAACGTGTTCTCATCAATATTTGGTACACAAAAAAAAGTTCTGATTTATGTTTGCCACCATTTCACACAAGGATTGCTGAGTGAGTATTGATGCAACTTAACAGCAATATACCCCAAATAAGAATATTTATTGACTAATTTCATCAATATTATAATACAAAGTGGCGAATTTATCGAAGGTCCGCGCACCGGTAGACGACGCAATGACTCAGCGCAGATGAAGTTTGAGTGTATCGGTAGAAATAAATAGATATATCAATAGCTTTGCGTACTGTAAATGCTCCTTTAAGACAGAACGCGATGATTATTAATGCTACTCTAAAATTAAATTTATATCTATATATAGACTAAGCTTTTACACGAATTAACCGCCACTTTTAAATTAATAAAATTACTTTTTTTATTAGTTGAAAAGAGGCGAAGAGATGAAGGGGGATTTTAAAAAGCTTTTATAGACGTAGTGTGTCTTAAGGAACCGAAGCGAATTCGTATAAACCCCTAGACAGTTTCTTTACCGATTGCAATTTTGTTAAATAAAACAATGTATATAAAAAAAGTGAATAAAAAAACATCATTACAATATTTACGAATTTTATTTAATAAGTACCCCTATTTTTTTTCAAACACTTCATATTAAATATGCACACTTTTCTCAAAGATGTACTTACTGAAAATGTTTCTAAAAAATTTGTAATCTGAACGAGTTTTTTTACATTTGAGATGCTTAAAAAAGTTTGAAATATTTTATAACGTATCCATATTACATTATTTCAGAGCTAATATATATTGTTAATTAGCATAGCGTATAGTCTGATAGAGACCTAATAGCGTCTATTTTGAACACCGCGTCCAGACAATCGGTTCTTGGACACGTGATATACTGAAAAGCGATTGTGTCACTCGTTATCGCTGAGTGTTTTAGTTCCTGATGCGAATTACATATACCCTACTAGATCCCAAGAGTTCCAACGTACTTCAATAGATTATAATTTGTAGTTACTGATTGCTAAGATATCATAATTTAGTTAAAAAAGACAAAGACATTTTTTTCCGATTATTTATTAATATATTTACATTTACATTTTTATTGTTTCAGCTTGTTATCCTGATATCTGAACTCAGCAACCATCAAATTTAACACATTACTAACCAACACATTGTACAGTGAGGTGGACCATATTTGTTGTTCAATATATATTTATAATTTCATTAGTTTTTGTAACATTTGACATTTTTTTTAATATAGAAGAAAACAGACAGACAAGCATGGTGTCCCTCGATAGGAGGTGAAATATCCCAGCCATATATAACAATTGATCAAGGTGCGCTGTCAACCTATTTAGGCTTCGGATATTCGGAAATCAACACACTGAAACCAAAACGCACTTTACGGCATTTTCATCTGTGGTCAGACAGAATTGCTCTATTCCTACCACCCAAGAGTTTCATACCACCCATTACACCAACTAGCTGTCAGTTAAGTTACATCTTCTAAATTATACAAGTGGTTTATTTTAAAAAGTACCAAATCCTGGATCTATTTTAATAATGTTAACATGATCATGGCTGCACAAAAAGCAATAAAATTGTCAAAACATAGTGAAAATAAAAAAAAGGTAATATAAATTGTGTTTTAAACAGTTAAAAGTGTTGTAAAATAGCTAAATGCATAATAAAACAAGTGGAGTAATCTTACAAAACAGATGCCATAAAACAAAACTTATATTTGAACTTGTACATCATTTTGTAAGTCATTATCATAATTGGGATGCTTTTTAACTCAAATCACCGTGACCCTGAAACATGAAACAGCATTTGTTTTAACAACCTATGATTTTAAGTGTCAAGGCTGTTCAAAAAACAACTTGTGCAGACTAAATTGACAGATTTTTTTTACCTTGACTTTTATTGATTATAATATGCACTATTATTGCCAAGTTATGTAAAATTAAACCTACCTTACCACATTAGCTACTTTTAGTGAAATAAATACTAGGTATTTGCCCTTAAGGTGTAAAAATCAACAGATTTTATGGCTCCATTATATACCTAACAAATAAGTACCTATAATAGAATTGTTTATTTTCTTAATTGCATCAATCTAAATAATTATACAAGCATTGTATTTAAATATTTCAAACAATAAAACAAATTAATTAGGATAAGATGTGTGAAGTATTATAATATATAATGGATTTCCCAAAAGCTTATGATATCATCATTCTAAGGATTTGGGTACATAAAAGTTATTCAATTGGAACATCAGTCAGAAAAACCATAAATGGTTATTTGCTTAGACAATTAGATGAATAAATGGTTTCAACATTTAACAATTCTATTTATGTCTAATATTGATTTACAAGTTCAAAGAAAATACATACAATTCCATAACAAATTTTACAACAGACTTATGCAATATAATTTTACCATTGTTTATGCATTAACAGTTATAGCTTAGTTAGGATAATTTTGATAAATAACATAAACAACATTTAATAATTTTAGAATAGTTATTATAATATAAACATATTTTTTTCTACCCTTACAGCTATCATAACCATTATATTTAAATGAAATTGCTACTTAGTAGTGCTAGTTAAGACTTAAGGTCAAGTTCAAGAAAGTCTATCAACAATATGTTTTATCAGAATGTTCTCGTATTTCTAGACAAGGTAAACAGATGTTTCTAAGGTTATTTCTTGATAAAAAAGCGGAAGTAAAATGACACAGTATGTATCAACTATTGAAACTTTAACATTGAATAACGTCGTAAATCTATCGGCCGGCGTGAAGGACGCCAACAGGTGTCAAGGAATGCAATTAGATACTTACTGAGTTCACTATTCGCTGCAGCCGCTGCGTCACTCATAAAAGAACTGCTTCTAGAGATTGGACCCCAGTTCCCTCTTCTCGCGCCATCTCTCGCTTCTGTTCTCTCCCCGCCTTCACCATTACACAGATGAACAGCAAATACGCACCAATATAACACAAAACTGATACGCATCGTGATCTTCCAATGACACTGAACCTAATATATAAAACGTCCAAAAAAATTTCGCACAATGCTCTGAACTACGCACACCAATAACATTCTAAGATATAGTATTTTATTATGGATTTATCAATTTAGTTCACATTACACGGCCAAATAAAAATCAGTTCAAGAACACCTAGACTTTATCACAGAAAGAAAATTATATTTTGTAATTTGTTCTTTGGATGATGGGTCTGTCAGATGTCACCCAAGAAAATACTTTGTCAACTGTCACTGTGTCATTCGTCATGACAATTTGCATCATAATTAAATCCAACTAACTCTATGGTTGTTTTAGGTCCTCTACTATATATTGAATATAGTATTAATTTTACACAGACTACCAAATGTCAGATTTATTTTTGAGGGAAATTGTCAAAGTCAAATGACCTTGCGAGTTTGTAAACAATACGTTAGACGTTGTTTTTAATAATAAATTCTCGATACTCTAGCAAACATATTTCCTTATTTTTTTTTTAATATAAATTTAAAGGTCTGTACGTACTTGTGACCTTCGAATTTATCAGGATGAACATTGATTTCGAAGCAATGGCTGTCTTAGAGGAGGAGTCTCAAAATGTAAGTCACCCATTTTTCTTTGTCGATATTATTGTTTTGATTACTATTAGTACTTCTATATTGGGGTTAGGCTTGTTTTGATCTTAATATTAGATAATTCTTTCTGAAATTAAAGCCATATGGTTTAAAACTGTGTAATCTTCTGATATATAATGACCTTAGTTGAGCTTCCTGGTTAGTTGACAAAATGTTTAGACAAACTATTCTTATGCGAATTTTTTATGTTGCACAATAGTTTCATCATACCTAATATCTTACTCAACATTAGTAATGCCATTACATTGTAATGGCTGTATATAACTTGATTCATAGTACATTAGTTTTATTAAATATACATGTGCACATATATTTAAATATATGCTTTTAAGTATTTCTCTAAGAGTGTGTATGATTTACTATCGGGGACAACTATGATAAGTAAGGGTGATCAGTGCACTCCAACAGCCGACCATTTCACCCATTAAAAGTGTGTAACATGTACATTTGCTTTTATTTAAAAAATCTTTTAAAGCTAATTCATTTGTTAGTTAAGATTAGTTAATCTTGCTTTAAAAAAATTGTTAAATGCTCCCTTTTACAGAGATGTAGATGAAAATGAAGAAATAGTTAAAATATTACTATCAATTCTGTGTAGATAATGAATCATAAGATTGCAAACAGCATTGATTTCTGAATGTCTACTTTTTACTTCTAAAAAGATGTGTTATTTTCCCAGAAATTTAAATATAATATTCATAGTGATAGTCTTGGATCTTCCCTGAAGATCATTGGTTTATGGTATTTTTAGATTAGTATTTAGCATCACAAGTCCTGGCTTTTTATTTCGGTGAAATATTGTACTTTTGTTATAGATAACTTACTTTTATGTAAAACCAATTGAAAGAAAGGCAAATCTGCCTTTTGCATTTATCACATTAATTCACTATAAGGAGCATAGGCTCCATGACTTTTTCTTTTAGTTAAATTCCAAACATACTATCTATATTTATATATAACATTAAAAAAATAACAGCCGCAAAAGCAAGCCACTGTTGCAAAGCATCCGAAACGTCGGGCCGAAGTTAAAAATAATTTTCAATTAAGTTTAACTAAAATATCGCGTTTTAAACCGTTAAAGTGTTTTATTTAAATTCTAAACATGTACAAGCATATAGCTGGTAATAAACCACATCACAGCTTATAAAGTCTCCGTAGAGTGACCATACAAATGTTATAAACAAGTAAACAGGTTTATGATTATATATTTGAATTTAATAAATACTTTTCCCTAAATCATTTAAAATAAAGCCTACTGTGTCTACAGACATTATCTGACAACATTCTAAATGGGACTATTAAAATATGCAAAATTTAAATTACACTATTGTTTCATTTTATCTCTAAGGTTCTAATTTTATTGCACTACGCATTTATATTCTGTACGCATCAAAAATCATTACTCTGCGTTATGTTGTAGATAGATAAAAAAAATTGAAGTGATTGCTTAAATATCTGTTTTGAGCTATTCTTAAACATATTGTTTTTTTGAACTGCTTTATTATTTTAAGACGCTAATCTGTTTATGTATTTTATTATAACATTGTCGTACAGCTGACCTACTATAATAAAATAATAATCAAGAAGCAAGTAGCTTTTTAACAACTATGAATTTTTAAATCTCTTAAATTTTAATATTATAATATGATAATTAAAATCTTATGAACGCGATAATGTTACTCCATTGTATATTTTTGGAGATCAATGTTAGCTTAGGTATGATTGTGATAAACATACAAGATAAAACTGTTTCGCTTATCGTAATTATTGGAATTCTACGTTTCGAATAATTTATAAATGTACGCAGCAAATAATGGCATATCGAAAAACAATAACTAATGATAAAGAGATGTTTCGTAATATATTTATATCTAGATAACAATTCGACTGAGTACATGCCAATGTTTACTGCGTATTTAGTCATAAAGCTCGAGTTTTTTTTTGTTGAACTTATTGAAAATACGTTATTTTTCCACCCCGCAAAATTTCCCTCTTATAACTACGACACAAAAGTAGTCCGTACGCGGTTACCGAGTGCAGCCAAACGATAAGGTCAGTCTAATCCCAAGTGGGGAGAGCACAATACGCAGCTAGTACATTCTCGGTTTTATTCAATTTAGTCTGTGCATAGCCAAGTTTTGCTGCGCCATCGGATTCGTGACTGTTTTAAAAGTTTTGTATGAAAAAAGAAAACAAGTGCGCGGTCGTTCCCTTCTGCGCAACGAGTCGCCATCAGTGAGTCAGTGTGCGTCGAGACAATCTCCCGGTCGGACACGACGCGTTCGTGTTAAGACGTAAGTTTATTAATCTCATACGAATCCTGTGAGAAATACCGCTTAGAAACAGAGGACAGATACGCCACTAATTGTGAAAAGGTTATAAATAGCGTAATTGGTGTCAAGAACTGCATTTAAGGTTAGCCATCGTAGTTACTACGCCGCACGAAATCATAGGTCGTACGACGCAGTTAGGTTGCCGCCGGTGTTTTGTTGCTAACTGAGTAACAACTGCGTATTTAGTGCAATGTTAATTGAATAAATTTTATACACTCTTTAGGAGCCAACTGTTTTAAATTAATTAATTTACGTATATAAAAAGCAATTTTGGTTTTGTTTACAAAATTCTGTCAATTTAGATAATATCGAAGGATTATACCGAGGTATACTTTCTACGCTCTATACAGAATTTTCATCTTAAAGTTAGAATCGAACTTTCTTAAAAAATATTTAATTTATAATATATTATACATCCATATGTATAAACGTAAGTAAGTTATAATTCCACCATCTTCAATTTGTATTACAATTGTAATCAAGAATTTACCATGTTTTGATAATGTAAATCTAATTCGACTTATAGGTTAAAAGTAGTTGGTATATTTCAGGGTGAGCAGTAGTTTCTTGCAGTGAGGTTAATCTAATTCCTTATTACAACGTAGGCAGTAGTTTCTTTTAAGATATGTTTAAACTACAATGTTTATTATGACTAGAACTTCATATTTATGTCATATCGCCACAATACAAACAAACTTCTTACAAACGCAGTTACGCACTGTCTCTTTTTTACTGTCGACGTCAAATCCACTTTCTCGTTTAGCACGTTTGAATTAACTTGATTTCATTACGACGCGTAGTTCATTCGTCTAACGAGCATTATATTTATTGTATCTGTCGTATGGGTTGTAAATGGGGGTTATATTAAATGAGTGTTAAGAATATCGAAATTCAATACCATCAAGGCTCATTTGACATCACATGTTTGTCCTCCTCTAACTATTTATCTATACTAATATATAAAGTTGAAGAGTTTTTTGTTTGAACGCGCTAATCTCGGGTAGTTCCCGGGTTCGAATTAAAAAAACATTGTTGTGTTGGTTAGAGCACTCATCGAGGAAGTCTATTATAGACTATTAAAACACCCCCCTGTGACTAATACAAGCAATTATTTATTATTTTGGGTTTCGAGGCGTACTGGAAATTCAAGATACCCCATGATAATTCCTCTTTAAATGATCTAAACAAAGTCCCAGGCGCTATATGTTTATGTTTTAAGATTATCTTGCACGAACAACGCGAAGGGTCAAGGACGCGGATGATGTCGTGGGTAACAACTTAAGTGTATAAAGGTATTCTCTAAGAGTGCGTATGATTGTGACAAATATACAAGATAAAACAGTTTCGTTTATCGTAATTTTGGTCTACGTTTCGTATTATAAATGTACGCAGCAATAATGGGTTTGCAAAACGAATTTAGATGTCCAAAATGACGATTCTCGTGGACGAAGTCGCTGACACAGCTAGTCATAAATAAAAGGAAATATATATTTTAAAGGGAAGCGATATCGTAAAGAACGCTGTAGCGTATTGTATTACAATATGTTTTCAAACATCCTTAAGTAAATCAAGGCTTTGTTATCGGTTTCAAAGAAAACCTACTTGTTGTCAAGGCACAATGTTGATACATTAGTGTCGGGTGACATCTCACATGTTAAACTACATGTAGCATAAAAATTAACATTCACTTCAAGCTACGTTAAAGACACTGATTTTGGTGTGAGTAGATTACTTAACGCGAATTCTACTTGAAGCAGGGATACATCTAGGGAACTTGAAGTTTCTTCGGAGGAAATCTATATTAAGCTGAAGAGTTTGTTTGTTTGTTTGAACGCTCTAATCTCAGGACCTACTGGTTCGAATTAAAATAATATTTTTCTGTTGGTTGGAACATTTGTCGAGGATGTTGATTATGATGATATGTTGATGATGATTATTAGTATGTGAGAATTAGCGAAAAAGCAGAGAGAAATGTGGAAACAAGGGAAAATTGAACCATCGTGATGGTTGGATTAAGAAATGAATAAAAATATGTATGATAGAACATCCGCGACAGTATGTCTATCTTTTAAGATTAACTCATAATAATTTATAAAGTTTAATAGATTGTTTGCAAAAAGAAATGTTGTCACCGAAAATTCCACTCGGACGAAGTCGGGGGCACGGCTAGTTGTCTCATATTCAATTGATTTGCGAAAATTGCTGGGCATCACCGATGCGCATGGGCATTGCGCAGCGCTCGCGTAGGTATAAAAGTTCATTGTTCTTCTCGTACAGCCTACAAAACCAAGGTTCCCTTCTCTGTGAGTAACGTATAAGGACTTAAAACATGTGATTGCTTTACGACTTCCACATATTACGTTATCACTTGTGTATGAGACATTTTGCAATGTGTTTGTTATTGTTAACTATCGATACGCTGTGGTTTGCTAATATGCATTATTATCATATTATTTCTGTTGTAGACCTCTGAGACGTAAATTGAACTTTCTATAGCTAAACGTTTACAACAGTCATCCGAAAACCAAAGAAATAACAAATACAGATTTTAGCAAGACTAGACGTTTTGTAGACTTACCAAAAAATTTTTACTAATGGTAACTAACGAAAATAGCAGTAGGAGAAAAAATACAATCGATAATATTACGTTGTGCTATATTTTTTTTATACCTGTTGATTTTTTCTTATAAATTGAAATTTTGTAAGTATGGTAATGAAAACATAGAAAATAATAAATAATTGCTCTAATTCATTTATTTTATTATAGGAGTTGAGCGGTGGATACGCAACAAAGACCGCGACGGGCGCTGAAGGGAGTGAGAGGCGCGAGGGGGGAAAACGTGGTCGCAGGCCCGGGAGGAAAGCACAACTCGACAAACAGGATATGAAGGCGAAACTGGGTAAGGATATAAGAATAGCTATCTCTGTCGTGAAAGGAACTAGATTGAAGACACTAGACGCCATTCATCGCAAAATCTGTAAAAGAATAATATTTTTCCTATGGGCTGTTTTAAAGTTTACATAATATGCAAAAGCTAATTGGTATTATTTTACGAAAACTTTGTCTGTCTGTAGGTCGTGAGGCATTTTTATAATGTATTTACAATTTGCGGCCAGATCACTATGAAGCGATCTCTTCTAGACAACCCTTGTTTGAAAATAAAATAAGTTATATATCATGGGACTGTGTACTTAATATTACAAAACTCATCGTGCGCTAATCCACGTAGTTGCTGAAGTTGTAAGATTTTTTGTAAAGCCAATCCATGAACCATCAATATGCAATTGTTAAGGTTGAAAGTTAGATTGCAAGACGTTAAGACTCGAGCAATGTAGCTCAACTGCAATTCTTAAGGCTAAGTAATGAACATTCAAGTCCCTCCTCGTACGCATCGGATTGTTAAGGTATATGCTTAAGTATTGGTAGTTTAAGCAAAATGACGTACCTATTGATGTTGCAGAGCGAAGCCGGCAGCTCGGCGTGAGTGCCGAGCGCGAAGTGAAGCTCCAGTTTCAAGTCCCGAAGAACTTGTTGCCATCGAGAAGTTTTGCTGGCGCTTAATCTAAAGTATGATTGCGGTTTGCAATTTTGCAAAATCTAATGATAGAAGATTAAAATACAAAATGTACGTACTTAACTTATTTTTGAATGTAAAGTCGTGCCTGCCAGTGGACACAGAGTGGCGTTTTTAGCACTTAAGAATCTATCCGTTGTCGAGCATGTACTTCATGCACTTATTGCGTCGATCGAGAAAGGACATTCTTAATGCTTTAGGAAAGTTAAATTACAGATAATTGGTCTGGTTAAGAACGTAAAAGCCATTTAGAATAACCTAATGTTAGTAATAAAGTATAATTATTTTAGTGTATTCTGTACTTAATTTTTTTTTTAAATTTAAGACTTTCCATTACTACTTACTTATTTGGAATTGCTTGGAAATTTGTTTTCTTGACATTTATTTTTTGTTTAATAATGCTGTATTAATATAATATTTCAGTATTACAATTGGAATCTCGAGTTGGATCAAGGGCGAATGCCTGAAGGCATTGAAGCAGTGTTGCAAGAAATTGGTGTAATCAAACAGGAAGAGAAACCCATTTTCTGATTCATATAAAGGGTAAATTACAATAAGTTATATATTATAAACGCTCTATTTTAGTCTTTCATTGTTAAGAATAATGTAACATTTTAGATCGGTTTATTTTGTTGTAAAAATGTAAAAAAAAAATAAGTATAAGGACAGAGTACAACTCAATATTAACATATATTAAAATGTCTATATCAGTCATTGTTTCTAGTTATAAGAAGAAATAGTACCTTTGTGTATTTTTAGTTATATAAACGCATTATGCCTTCATTCTTCACCGTCTCCTTCAAAACAAAAAAAAAAAAGAAAAATTGCTAACACCTCTTCAGTGTTAGGCGTTTGATTATAAAGTCTTGGATTCGATTCTCGATGAGATGAAATATTCCTGTTTCATTCATTCTTTTGGTGAAGTAAAACTTTTAAAATCGAAAATACTATTAACTTGTAATAATGATCGCCTTCATTTTTATATAAATAAGATCATATTATACTCGTCAACAGAGTGATAAAGTTAATTAAGTAATGATTAAAACTGTATTGAAATATATTTGTTTCTTTAAAAGTGTAGCGTCTTAAAAGTCGCCAGAATTATAAAGAATCGATTTATATGTGGTAGAAAATGCATAATATCTATCGTAGAATGAGCGAATTTATTAATTAAAAACCTTTTTTTATTAAAATGAACATGGTTCATATATTTTTACGTTAATTTAGTTATTTTGTTTTAGACTTGTTTTTTTTATTTGTAGCATTGCTTCGCAGTTATTCTAAACTTTTTATGTATGAAAAATATCAAACTGTTCAGTGAATGTGTTATTTACACAGTTAAAACTATATTTCAAATCGAAATCACGTAAGCTTAACATATTAAAGAACATTCGATTTTTTTCTAAATAACCGTCGTGACTTCTTACGAAACGTTTCTATATCTTTCTGAAAATGTTTTTGAAAATTTTTTTCCACTTTTAATGTTTCATTGCATGTTACTAGTTTAAGGATAACAAGTATATATTTTCGCTTTCAACTCATTAGTTAGTAAGGGTGATTTTTTATTAGTTTTATTTTGTAATTATTTAATTTCGATTTGTTATTTTAATGTTTTAATATGTGCATAGTCGAACTTTTTAATGCACCATTATACAATTATAGAAGTAGGAGTAATTACTATGTGTAGTTAACATTTTTAACGATGTATTCATTAAACTTTTCAATTTATTTTAACTACAGCTCGACGTTTATGTATAAACGTAACGTAGTGTAACTAATACATTTCGCGTTTTAAACCGTAAAGAGTTTTTTTTTAGAAGTAATGTTACTTTGCTTATAATTAAATATGGTTTGCACTTCCTGCGTTCAATTATTAGTTTTTAAGTTTCTCTATAAACAGTAGATGCAAATTCCAATTTCAGTTTTTCTTAATGTTAAAGGTTTGAATTTTTTTAAAATAGATATTAGAAATTAATTAGATTATTTGATTTGGTAAAATCCTGTGTCTCTCAGTGGGGCATGAGGCGAACACATTTCTGCGTCCGTTTCACTCGGTCGAGCTTACTTACAGGCAAGCAGTTAAACAAACTCTCTCTTATTTGAGAAAAATATATCTCTCTCGTTATCATTTCAAATTCGTATCCGTACCCTACTATCATACAAATTAAATAAATGGAATTTTCTTAATTGCAATTAGATATTTTGGTCCTATTCTATGCCTGTCATATTTTCTTTGGAGATGTTCTAATTTGTCTTATTTGCATCTACTCGTGTGGGCATAAGTAGTATATTTTTTTAGTGTCTTTATGTCGGCAATCCGCCTTCGCTGGATAATTTTATATAAAAATTAGTTTATTAATATAGATGTAACTTTAACGCTAGGAGAACCTAATATTACGATTAAATAAAAACTGCTTAAGTATATTCGGACCAAGAACATATATTTTTATCATGTGTATATAGTTATATGGAATTTAATATAATATTAATGTACATTTCAATATTTTTTGCGAGTTTATTTATAAGTTAGATTTAAGATTATAGCAGCTAGGTAGTTCCGATTTGGAGAAAAAAAAACAAAATGATCACAAACGCAAGACTCTGAGACCCCAAAACTAAATAATTTAACTGAATTCGCAGAAAGAATGAATATACAGTTTTAGAGAAGATGAAAGTGTGTTTTACGTACAAAAAGAGATCTTGAAAAATTATATTTAAACATCAATGAAATACAACATCCTTTATAACTTGAGTAATCGTAATACAGACATGTAGATGCGTTTGTCTCTTTCAAACTGTAGCATAATAAAAGGGAGAAAACATTTTTGGCATCTATTTAAGTTATTAAAACATTATAACAATGTTGGTAGATTTTACCAACCATATATCAACGCGAAATATTAGTAACGTCCTTTTCTTTCTCGTATTGAACAACTGAGACAGATATAGAAGCTCTTCAATTCGGTCGGAAATCATCAAATTACTACTACAACCTATGGCAATCCACCTCAAATAGTTAATAAGTTTAGCATTATTGCATGTTTATTAGTAAAATATTTTTTTCTTTATATTTATTATTATATTATTTTATTCTTTATATTGTTTTAATTTTGACGGTAATTTCTTAGAAAATATTGTATATTTTTATAACAAGTAAAGAAAGCTTTGTTTTTCTATTAATATTAAATTATAACGTGTTGTTTTTGCCAGCTAAATAGCTAACATTATAATACAGGTTTTAAAACCTACGTATATTTGTATTGTATCTAAAGCCCATTTAATTTATTATGTTTATTGCTATAATTCATGTTTTACAGTTTTTTCGTGTATAGTTTAAATTCTACCATAGTTATAATGTCAAATTAAAGATAAACTAGAAAGTATTTATACCTATAATAAACATAAACGCAATATAGTTAAAAACTTTTCTAAGAATATATTTTTAGACTTGTGTGACAATTGATTGATAATAAAAGAAAATAAATATATTATATAAGTGTTTCATTTATCTGTTTCGCTGTTGAAAATACATTAAAAGTTTAAATAAAACACTTTAATTTAACGCATATATTCGTCTAGCTTTTCGACTCAAGAGAATAAGTAGTCGTCTTGTAAGATTCGAACCCAACATCTCTGGCGCTTATCGTGTAGCATCTACGCTAATCGAGGGTTACGATTGACTCTACCCTAAAACAAGGAAAAATAGCCAATGAAAATTAACATAAATGCGTTCAACCTATGTGGAGATCATACATTGCAAATAGGTTTTCCGCGAAGTCTATGAAATATTTATCGTTTCTGCTAACTCTTCGAACGTAGAAAACACAGGTGTACGACCGGCTAATGGTGGCACGCGGAAAAACAAATTTTCATTCATATTTATCATTTTGGTTGCTATAACTAAGTCTTTGTAATTTTAAAATACAAGTATGCCAAATATGTATATAAAAATGCTCGTCGGTGTATTGTTAGCAATAGACGCATAATAATCAACGAGTTGTAGGTTAGTTGCCCACCGGGGCCAACATTTTTAATTTTTCTAAAACATATCTTCGCTGGCTTCGACTGGAAAGCTAGATATGAAATTGGTGGTAGGAATATCGAAATCAAATCACGAACAACCGTCCATAGATAAAAAATCCGTTAAGTTTAATCACGCTTCGGTTGCAGTCTATGGATTTCCGAATATCCAAAGCAAAAATACGTCGATAGCGCATCTTGTTTAGATGCTTTAGGGTTGTATTTCACCTACAATCAAGTTAATCAAATACTTGTCTCTTCTTCTCTATCATAAAAAACATTATATATAAAATTAAATGCAATTAAAACAGTATTTGTAGGAGGATGAAAAACAAGCTTATTTTAATTTATTTAAATATAGCGATCGTTTTTTGTTTTCTTTTTTTTCGGAAACTAGGATGAACATATTACGTAAATATAGATTCGTTTTAGTATCCAACAATAAAGACCGACAGATATAAAATATAAATTACTAAGCTTTCTCAGTTGTCATATTGTCAGTACGCGCGGGAAAGCCGTCCTTTAAGGACGTATCCGCGCCCTCAGGGCAATTTCGTAGTAACGATGTCTCATGAAATCAAATACTTTTTTGAGGTTAACTTCAGTATTTATTAAAATCATTGATACTAAAACATCCTTATTACTAATGCGATGGAATCACAAGTTTTCCTCCGTCAAAATGAAACTTATGAAGACTTTTATAACCGTTGCAATAACTTCACGTTCTTCGATTGTAGTGAAGAGGAAATGTTGTGGTGGATTATGGGCTCAAAACGGTTGCCACTGAAAGAAATTATACCAATAAGTATAGTACTGGTGGTGATATTTCTAACTGGTGTAGTTGGCAATGTTTGTGTGTGCGTGGTGATTATACGGAACCCAGGGCTTCATACCGCTACTAATTATTATCTGTTCAGTTTGGCTGTTAGCGATTTGCTTCTGCTCTCTTTTGGTAAGTGTATAAACG